CAACACGGAAATGACGTTCGCAATCATCTTAATGTCTATCGCAACGCGGAAATGACTATCGCAATGCGAAATGAAAATCGCAACGAGAGAATCGCAATGCGAAATGAAAATCGCAATGAGAGAATCGCAATGCGAAATGAAAATCGCAACGAGGGAATCGCAAAGCGAAATGAAAATCGTAACGCGAATTTAGTTTCGCGTTGCGATTTTGTCGACGCGATTTTCATTTCGCATTGCGATAGTCATTTTTGCCTTCAACATAATGCAAATTGAAATCAACAAAATCAACCATTACATTTCAATCAATTAAACAAGCACAAATAAGAATTATGTTCACATCAATTAAACAAATAAACTTTTACAAATCATTTTTTACCAATCAATTAAACAATAAAAAAATAAGCAATAATTATTATTTCCTCATCTACTATTGAATCAACTTTTGCAGCCATACATCATTTTCACGCAGCTCACTTCTGAGATTAACCTGCAGAAACCAAACATTTGCTCAAACAACACTTTCTACACATCCTTCAAACAACACTTTCTATACATCTAAAACCTACAAACAGCAAATCATTTTCACGCGAAATGAAAATAGCAACGAGAGAATGAAAATCGCAACGCGAAACGAAAATCGCAACGCGAAATGAAAATCACAACGAGAGAATCGCAATACGAAATGAAAATCGCAACGCGATTATAGTTTCGCGTTGCGATTTTTGGTTTCGCGTTGCGATTTTGTCGTTGCGATCTTCATTTCGCGTTGCGATTCTCTCGTTGCGATTTTCGTTTCGCGTTGCGATTTTCATTCTCTCGTTGCGATTTTCATTTCAACCAAAAGACAAAACAATGTTGCTAAAATATAGTTTCAAGAATAAACTATTCTTCTTCTTCTGCAAATTGAAACTTGAATGGATTGCATTACTTCAACCAAAAGACAAAACAAAGACAAATACTAACTTTAGAGTATTAAAGAATACACAGTTTAGCAGAATTGGCATCAAACGAACAAATTTACTTTCAACCAAAAGACAAAACAAAGACAAATACTAACTTCACAGTGTTAAAGAATACACAGTTTAGCAGAATTGGCAGCAACCGAACAAATTTACTTTCAACCAAAAGATAAAACAAAGACAAATATTAACTTCACAGTGTTAAAGAATACACAATTTAGCAGAATTGGCAGCAACCGAACAAATTTACTTTCAACCAAAAGACAAAACAAAGACAAATACTAACTTCACAGTGTTAAAGAATACACAGTTTAGCAGAATTGGCAGCAACCGAATAAATTTACTTCAACCAAAAGACAAACACAAAAGACAAATACTAACTTCACACTGTTAATAAACAATTTAGCAGTATTGGCAACAACCGAATAAATTTACTAAGCAATCTAAGTGAAATGGTTAATCTAAGTGAAATTACGAGTAAATTTATCATCAAGTTAAATATGGAAAATCTTAAACTTACCTCGTTGCGTAGAGTATGAACCTCATTCTGCAACGATACTACCATCTCACGTAGAGCGACAACCTCACCACGTAAAGTAGACACCTCCACACGCCATGCACCATCGTTATCGCGTAGAGTACCGATCTCCTCACGCAAGGCATTGACCTCATCATGTAACTCCCTTGACTCATCCCGTGGAGGTGGAGGTGGAGAACAGGGAAATAGAAGTCGTGGCATCTTTGCCGGTCGCCTATCATGAGGTGATGGTGGAGAAGAGGCTCGATGATGTGACGGGATAGGTGATGGCTCTCGTTGTAGAGGTGTATAGTCGGGTCGATCAGGTGATGGCTCTGGTGAGGTGATGGCTCTCGAAGTGGAGGAAGTGGAGGCTGCTCATTATTCGTGCCATCAAGAAAACGCTGACTAGCTTGCCACCAATCAGTGGCAAGCTCAGCCTCCGTGGGTGTTAGTCTCATTAATGGAGTGTTGACCTCCTAAAAATATAAAAACTCAAACAAAGTTAAACGTCTACTATTAATAACTTGTTTATATATGATAGTATTTGTGTTAACTTACATTATTTATTGTCGCATATGGTATTAAGTCTTCCCAATCCAACAGACGTTTCCTCTTCCAGGAAATAGCCCTAGGAATATCATTTGAAGTTTTTAATGCATATGTCTGCATGCTGGGGAAAGCCTCGAATATCCAAATCTACAAACAATATAATAACAAACATTAGTAATTGTTAAATAATTAATTATAATTTTGAAAACATTATATATAAATTCTTACTTTAAAGGCCCAAACAAAGCCTGACAAAGTGTATTTCGACCCATCGCCACACAAACTTTTGCGGTCATCAAAGGCAGTCGACAACTTAGTCCAGGTAGCTTTCAATATATATGAACCCCACGGAAACAGATTCCATGCATTTAGGTCCTCTACCAATAATATTAGCTCCTGAGGAATAGGTTGTCTGGCCTCTCTGCCTAAAAAGCCGGCATACAAAAGTACTAGAAGGCATACTCGGACAACATCGACGTCATTCATCCGAGTAAAACCATCTTTCTTATTAAACAATTTCTTCAGGTCTTCGACGTGTAAGTTCGGCTTCTCTATTGACTCATCAGGAAAAACCCGGGATAACCATGATGGGCGGGTGATATGACGAGTGTACCGGCCTACGTCATCGTGTCCGAATCGTAGACCAGTGATTAAGCAGAACTCCTTCCGCCCAAAACAAGTATATGCCGGTGGAAAATAAAACCATATCTCTTCCTCACCACGTTGTATACTGTCGGGTAGATCGCTAGTCATGGTCTGAAGCCACAAATGGGTCAAATTAGCATCTCCACCCGGATGTTGTACTCTCAGCCATGGCCCGAAACAGGTTTCCTCAAACAATTTTCTTTGTGCAGGTGAAAGCTTCGAAGCAATTGTAGTGGCTAGGCTAACTTTATTCCTTAATGTCAATGAAGCCGAAAAAAAATTTCTACAAAAACAATAAACATATCAAGTTAGATATACCAAAAACTACACTGTGAAGATATACAAAAAACAAAAAACATAAATAGTAGTTTATTCTTGAAACTAAAATCTGCAACATTGTTTTGTCTTTTGGTTGAAATGAAAATCGCAACGAGAGAATGAAAATCGCAACACGTAAATGACTATCGCAACGCGAAATGAAAATCGCAACGAGAGAATCACTAAACAGTTTAGCAGTATTGGCAGCAATCGAATGAATTTAATAAGAAATCTAAGTGAAATGGTTAATCTATTATTGAAATTACCAGTAAACTTATCATCAATTTCAATATGAAAAACCTAAAATAATGCAAAAATTTTAAAATAAAAATAATTAAAAAAACTAACCCTCGGAGGTTGATTTTCCATTTCTGAATTATTGTGAGGGATTTCTGACCGTGAATGGTTGTGAGGGATTTCGCCGGAGATGGGGACGGAAATCTTCGTAGATGGGGATTGATTTCGCCGTAGAGAGTGAGAGATGTAGATGGGAATGAGTTGTGATTTTAGGTTTTAGGTTATGAGTTACGATTACGGGATATACTGTGGACGGTTCAGTTTCCGATATATTAAGAAATTCGTGTTTGGAATTTGAAAAAAAATTTGCGTTAATACGAATGGCGCTATGTAAATCGCATTGCGATAGTCAGATTCGCATTGCGATTTACGTATTCGCATTGCGATTTTCCTAATTCGCATTGCGATTTACGTAATCGCGTTGCGATTTACGTATTCGCATTGCGAATTAGGAAAATCGCAACGCGAATTTGGGAAATCGCAATGCGATAGTCAGAATCGCGTTGCGAATCTGGAAACTGATTTGCGATACCGGAGATCGCGTTGCGAATTATCGATCGCATTGCGATTTAGTTGGTCATTTTGGCAAATCCAAAAAAAGTTGGTTAAAATCGTATATTATAAGGCATTTTTTGTTACTGATGTTATTTTCTCTTTTTATAATTTATTGAAATGAATAATCAATCAATAAAATGAAAATTTAATATTTTTTAATTTTTTATAATATATTACTACATGTAAGTTGTAAAATAAACTAAAATAAAACAAAAAAAAACAAGAAGGACAATTCTATCATTTTACATTACTGAAATCAAATTCATCTGATATGTCTGCGAACCAAACAGAATATGGAATTGAATTTCAATTCCTACAGATTTCAATTCCTACAGATTCTAATTCCCTCATAAATATTCCAACGAACCAAACACCACCTTAATGAGTCTTCTAAACTACCACATTTTGAGTACATTGTGAAAAGACAAGTCTCGACAGAAACATCGAAGATCAACCCGAGTGAATCTGCTGGAATCCTTGCACCTTCCATCTCTTTAAACGCCATTTCAACTATACTAGCGAAACCTAATTTTGAAGCAGCTTGTATCACTGAATGCATTAAAATTCCAAACTAATGGATTTGCGTAGACTCTTCAATCACGTCTAGTTTTGCACAAGTAGAAATTACAGTGCTAACAGTATAGTTGTTTTTCCACTTGCATATAAACTCTGTAATTTCTTTATAAAGCTGAAGCCCATTGACACAATCAACCTTCTGCACATATAAACTCTATAATTCAGTAATGGAATTGCTATTGAATGCGCAGACAAGGTAAGTTACATGATTCTTATTTTCTTATTTCTTTTTCTTGTAAAACCGACTCCGACCAGGAAAGTATCGAAAAGATGATTGGAGAGGCGAAGGCAAAACCAAGTTCAGCAACAGGGATTTTTTAAATAAAATTTTAGTTAAAATGTTATAAAGATACTAAATTAATATTTATTTGATGTTAATAAACTCAATTAAAAATTAACTCTTTTTGTTATCGTATCAAGTCAATATAGTGAAAATTAGCGTCCAACTGATCATTTTGTGATAAATCAATAATGCAAATAACCAAAACATAATTGAAATTGAATAGTCAAAATCACAAGAAAATGAAAGAAAAATGACCACTAATGTCGTTTACCCTTCAATATATTTTATCTATAATAACATAAAACTTAAATGTCCTGTAGCCGAAATGAAAAAAAGTACAAGCCCTTGCATCTTACCAACGTACATGATAAGAACAGGGAAGATCTGGGGACAAAATTTTAGCAAACAGAAACACGGATCCGAACCATAGGGAGACGAGTATTGTTGCTAACACAGCATGGATAAACGAACTACAATACAGCTTTCTGCTCAAAGCCTGGCTACATTTAGCTATAACGTCAACATAATTAGTTAATTGCAACCGGCAACCATGCAGAAGCAAATTTAGTTCTTTCCTTTCTCATTTTTCTCATCTTTGTCATCATGATATTCATTGTCATCATCGTAGTATTCATCATCATTGTCGTCGTCATAATAATAATCATCATCATAATAATAATATACCTCTTCGTCATCTTCACTGTCCTTGCCGTCTAGCAGCAGCTGCCCCTTTAACCGCTCTTGGATTCGATCTCTGATAGCAGTGCCCTGAAAAACACCCCAAATTCTAAGTGAGGCAACATAACCGCATTCCATAAACTATTTCTTTTTATATGTGCATGCACTAGTCATTACTATATGTTAGGTAATTAAATTTGCTCACCATTTTGTGGCAACCTTCTTCAAACATCTCAAGAAATCCCGCAACCCATCGGTCAGCATTTTCCACCCACTCATTACGGTGCATAGCAACAATTTGCATCTGCAAGTATTGTCATGCATTAAGTTTCTGATAAAGTGAGGAAATAAGCATTCAAAATCCAGCCAAATAGTATGTAATGTGGCCAGTTACATGTGACACAAAACCTAAACATGAATATGTGCATACAAATAAATATATGCATAGAGTAAAAGAAAACATAAATATATGAAACCTAAACTATGAATCTGACTGAATAGAGTTTTGATGGCTCACAAACTCATAAAATTTCTATAGAATTTGTAATTAGAACAGTTAATATCGTATTCAGAAGGGCATTAATCCAGGGGATGGCAGAGGAATTTGGAATTTGAAGCCCAACTACAAATCCTTAGTTCAGATGTATGCCATCCATTTTTGGTAATTTTGAAAAGACGGTAACCTTCACTCTAAAACCATGGTAAAAAACAGGGAATAAAATTTAGGCCAATCTGATCAAGCAATGAAAGTGAAGAAATTAGAACTGAACTAAAGAACCCCTCTAAATGTTATGCTGTGAAGGCACTTGATCCCAAATTGATCAAATGTGAATCATAAGGTAATCCAGCATTGATATTTCAGCACTGCGCCAAGGCAACTGATTTTAAGTCAACAGAAATGATTGTTTTTTGGGTGTTTGTTACTATGTATGCATATTAGTGCGTGGGTTTATGAAATTATTCATCAACTTATGGAAGCCAAGGAAGGTCGAGAGAAAAAAATGACAGGTGGACAAGTTGGGAGGGACCATGGTGTCGTGGCAAAGAGGGGAAAGGAGATGGGTTATGGGTATATAATGTATGGGTGTTTACTGAAGGGTCATAATGCTCTTCAAGTTACGTAAACATGTAAAGAATCTGCACAATTTTACATTTAATAAAATTGTAAAGGCTAGATAAATGCATAAACAAAGTCGATATCAAATTACTTAGCCACGGACGCACTTAAATCTACATACTGAAGTTACAAGGAAAATAATGCATCCAAGGACAATTGTGAATGAACTGTTAAAGTTTGAGCAGAATACAAAACACAAGGCAAACCTTTAAACTAACTATGCAATTCTTCAATGTTTTTTTACAAAAATACTATTCTCAATTCAAGTACAAGAGATTTCCTGGATATAGTTCCTCCAAACATTTTACTTAAAAAAATTCATGAAGTTTAGACTTTTATCATAGAAACACATAACATACAATCACAGAAACAAAAGTTGCATGACAATAACAATGACAAGTTGACAACACTATTTCCAAGCTAATTTCTATACTCCATGGTTATTTCTCTAAGAAATGTTTATAACTTCAGTTACCATATTATTTACACACAAGACGAAACATTTCAGGCAAATTTGGCAAGAATATGTGATTAATATGCTTCAAGTATCATGGAAAGACAAAGTGTCAAGAACTGATAAAAAAAGACCTGAAGCACATTCATCACCCTCCAAAAAGCTAAAAATTGAGCATCTTACCTTCCAACAGCATACTGGATTCCAATCGTACAGCCAGAAAAGGGAACGATTATCAAACTAGACCAATATCACTTGAGGGTGAGCATACCTTTTCTCCCACTTTTTCTTGTTGTTCCTTAACTTTTTCTTGTAGTTTCTTCAGTCTCATATTCACTCTCAATCTCTTTTCCTGTTGACATCAATTGGAATATCAACAAAGGAGCAGTCGTTACTAAAACAAGACACTCAGGACAGAGATCTTACCTTCACATAGCTAACTCCAAGCTCTTTCCTTGAGTATCCACGGTCCAAGTTCCGCAGCACGTACTGGTTATAATCTTTAACAATTCTCATAATGATATCTGATGTAGAAATACCTTCAGTTCGTTTGGTCTCCTTGAACTTGCCAGCAGCTTTAACCTGAGAACAGGAGATTGCTTACTATCTAATACAAAATTTTAAAGCACTAAATATATCTGCGCAGGATTGTCTCAATAAACTTACAAACTCATACACATCATTCACGGCTCCACTGGCATCAGCATAGCTGTAAACAATTTATGGCAAATTGTAAAGACTGCATGAATAATTTAAAGCTGGATATTTATGTGTTTACCAGGAAGTATTAATTTAACAGCAGCAAGGAAAGTAGTAAGAAAGCTATTTAAATATGCAGTAGTTTTCTATTCAACATTAATAAATTAATTTAAAAGAAAGAACTGTATATATTCTTACGGAAGCGAATCATGAGCCACATAGTCAATGTTGTGTTTATCTAGAAATTCTTGATCAATCACCCACGGGGCATCAGGAATGACTTCATCAACCCACCTGTGACAAAAAGAAAAAACGAAGTCCTTGAATGAAGCTCTGGATAGGAATATAATTAAATCACATTTTACAAATGAAAATCTCATCATGAGAGATAACAATAGATTTACTTCAATCTTTCAAAGAATTAAAAAATTTAAATAAATCTATAATTAAGGTTCCATTTGATTACAGTCTTTGCTACTTTAAGTTTACATCCTAAAAAGCATTAATTAATTAAAAGTAAAATTTCTCATTAGCCAAAAATTTCTTCAAATGTACTATTTTCTTTTGCATCCAAAGGCATGTTTTGCTTCAAACTCTTTAAAGCAAAACTCAAGCTCCAAAGGCACGTTCTGTTCATTTAATATTTTCAGTAAAATAACTAGAAATGGCTGATAGTTGAGAGATATAGAAAGAAGTAATACTTGCAATGGCGAAGGGATTCATAACGTTCTACATCGGTCATCACAGTTTTGCCCTTGTACTTATGGGTAGTCTCATCATTGCAACATCCAACCAGCAAATACGCGTTGGGAAACCTAAAATTTCAAAGAATTAAATAACATAATCGGGAATACAAAAAAAAGGCAATCATGAAGTAGACGTAATAAGGAAAATCAAGTTACAATATTTCTGCTGTAAATAAGAAATATCTCACAATAAACAAAATTCACAAACACGAGGGCAAAAGAAGAAAAGTTACACGTATAAGAGGGGGAACCCCAAATATGAAGATTCTGAAAGAAGCCAATTAATCAACAATGAATTTCTAAATATACCCAGAAAAACATTGATATCAAACATGGGGAGAGAGAGAGAGAGACAGGAGAGAGGAAAACGGACGATTTCTTGGCTTGTTCGAGGGAACGAGCGTGGCCAAAATGGAAGAGATCGTAGATCCCATCGGCGTAAACACGGACGGGGCGATCTGGAACGGGGTTGTTGCTATTGTTACCGGTGCTCCCATAAGAGGATTCGTTGTTCATGGCGGAGATTCTAGAATTAAGAAGAAAAATGGAAATGGACTATATAGTTAGATATTCTGCTTCATACTAATAAGAATAAGGGGAAAATACACTCTAGGTCACTCAATTATATATCTGAGAATAAACAAATCATTTTTCCTGAATTTTATAAATAAGTCATTAAAAACTATCTAATATATTATTATGAAAGGCTAAAATTATGAAATTTTTAAATGTCAATAGTTAAATTTATTGATTTTTTAATTATAATCAAATTGATAGATTCTATAAGTTTTGAGATTAAAATTATTATTATATTATATCATATCATCATTTTATCTAATATTTATTGAATCATTATATTTTTATTTGAGGATTTATAAATCAAAATAAATTAAATCAAATCAACCTTTTGAGAGCTAAGGGTTTGATTTCACTTTTGAAAAAATAGTTTTCGAACTAAGAATTTGAAATTATTATTTTTAAATTAATATTTGTTACTTCTAAAAAATATAGAAAATAAATAAATAAATATCAAAATTAAAGTGCTTGAGACTAATTTTTGAGATATAATATTTTTTATTTGACAAAAAAAAATAAATTGAAGGTCATAAATCAATATCAAAGTGTTTAAGATTGATTTTTAAGACTTAAAATTTATAATTTTGCCCGGGATAACTTTATCTTTTTTTCCTCTTTTTGTGTCAGCGACGGAAACACAACTTAGTAAGAGGGGACAAATACATATATATTTTAAAATCTGAATTTTCTTATAATAATTATTTATTTTATTAATAATACTTGAAGACACTCAATTTCAACCATATAAATTATAATATAATAAGGTTATAATGCACATGGCATTTACGTTTATGTATATATATGTGTATTACATAACATACATATGATTTATTATAATTATATGATACATTTATTTGGGTTTACATGATACATTCCCAAGAAATCACAAGACCTACAACAAGGACCCAAGAATCGTTCTAAAAATCAGGGTTTCTAGAAAACCCTAGCACGCCGTCGCTTCTTGCATCTCATCCAGAAGCCCCCGAAGTCCCCTGGTTCATCACGTCTTCCTCAGCCGCACTTCACGGATCCAACGTCCCCGTCAACACCACCAACGACGCAAGAATCTCGCAAGGCTCATTCACAACCAACAAATGTTAGAGTCCTATTAGGACTCAAATGTAATCTAAAAATAGGTTTTTTTACTATAAATAAGTGTAATCAAACCCGTTTTCAGGGGGATTGAAATACGAAATAACAAGCAAAGTTACCAGCAAATAGCATCCAAAACACTCAGAGCATTTCGAAAGGTTTCTCACAATATTTCAAAAAAGAAAGGTAAAAAAATCATACCTCCGCGTGTAGTTCTCCTTATTCTGTGCCTTTGCTGTGTTTTGTTTGAAAAGAAACCCCAAAAGAAAAACATTTTCAGCCGATGAACAAAGGGAGAGTTTCAAAACTTTGAAGCTAGATCTACTCCCTGAGGCTCGTTATTTGTTGGATTTTTTGGATTTTTGAGAAGCGTGGGTGAAAGGCTTTCGAACTGTAAAAAAAAAAATTTGTCGCCGATGAACGGCAGCGACGAGGCGGCGCTCGGAGGCCAAAGGCCGGATTCTGGAAAACTTGGTCCATGTTCTTCATGTTTGAAGAACAATGGAGAGAAAAGATTTGAGAGTGGAGGGGGCTACCATTTTTGGTTTTATTAATGGATGCATATCTCTGCAAATTTCATGCTCCAAACTCCTCATGAAGATCATCATCATCAACCCCAAAGTTTCACCAATTAAATGCTTCCATCATGCACACACCAATACTTTCATGGCGTTGCATCATTTCTGGGGAAGAGATCGATATCGTTTTCTGGTATTTATGCATACGAAGAAGCAAACGGGGAGCGAGAGTCGTTAGCAATGCAAGACATCCAGTCTATCGTAGGCAGCAAGGCTAAAGGTGGGGCAGAAGTGTTGAAACGAAAAGGGGGCCAGAACCAAACATCAAAATGGGGCTGCTATTGAAGAAAACTGCTTAACTTTCTGGATTTTTAGGGCCTTTAAAAGGTAACCATCTCATCTGGATTTTGCTTCAATGCACGATTTCAACGTTCCAAGCTCCGAATTAATCTATAAATCTCTGAAATTCTGGATCTGATTTTCTAATGTTTTTAACTGATCTAAATTAACTACTACTCTCATTCCATCCTCACTATAATCTGTGCTATTGGCGTTCTCCTACCAGAATTTTGCTGGATTTTAATAATTATCCATTTGGGACAAGCAGTCCAAAGTCATTTAATGCGTATCCACGGGGTGGCATTATCCTTCTCGATAGTCCCGTGAACTCGTCAAACTTACCAGAAAAACAATTTCTTACGGTTACTTCAAAGATTTTTGTAGTGTTTTTTTTTTGGTTTTCAATGGCTTCGAAGGATGTGAAGACTAGCGAATCGGCGGTTTCGACGATCGTTAATCTAGCCGAGGAAGCGAAGCTAGCGAGGGAGGAGCAGTAACCAGTAGAACGATTGTATCCGAGAATCCAGGACCCATCACAGGAACGAATAACAATCCCCAGCAGAGTCGCCAAGCTGTCGGAACCGTCTTTCGGTTGGGCCCCGGAATCGGGCTTCGACTTGAATAATTGTGTTAGGAGTCGCCACCGACCATTTATTTTTTAAAAAAATGGGTTGATCGGATATCTTATTTCTTACCTGATCTGCGTCTTACCAAATATGTGTCGGATTCGGGAGTCGGTTACAACCAAGGAAGGGTTAGCACCCTTGAATTGCCCTTTCGGTACTGTGTAATTTCCAGTTGTCTTTAATTAAGAAAATTGAAGGTTAAATTAAAAGGTAAAACAACGATCCGAATTACTTACCCTTGATTGGTTGAAGTTCCCTTAAAAATAAATACGTTAAAGAACGAAAATGAACAAAAAAAAAGGAAACAAGAATGAAGATAAAAATAGAAAACAAGGTTAATAAGCGGAGTAAAATAAATCAGTAAATGCAATATTAATAATCTATGTACAACCAATGAATAAATAAATACAATGAATAAAAAATGGCCATCAAAGAAATAAAAACGAAGTAAAAAAAATGGATTGGGAGTCTTTACGCATCTTCAGGACCGGGATATTGTCTGGAGAGCCCCCTGGCTATTTCTCAGTGACGTTCTCTTCCGATATGGTGACTCTGACACTGTGACCTTACTTAGACTTTAGGGAGCAGTCGGGTATGCTCCGTTATTAGCACTTAGACAGTATGGAGCACGCCAGTTTGTCCCAGCAACATGCGGGTTGGCTAGGTCAGAGTTTGAGTATCACGGCGACAGCTATAAGAAGATGATCAAAGAAGCAGCCGATTCGTGGAGGAAAGTATTTCAGATGGATATTGTAGCTGCCAGAAGCATGCTCACTCCGGATTATGTGGAGTGGCGAAGATTGAGAAAAAATGACAACATCCCTGTGCCAGACTGTGATGACACCCGAACCATGGAAGAACATCTCAGGCATGTCCCTTCTGAACTTGAGATAGCCAAGACTGAGTTTGAAGCAGTGAATAGTGAGCTGAAGCAAAGGATAAAGGAACTTGAAGCCGAGCTCTATCAGTGGAAGATAGATGCTGACTCTCAGAAAGACTGGGCAAATAAACTGGAAAGAGAACAGAAAAAGTCTGTTTTGAGTTCGAAGACTTGAGAAAGGGGTATCAAGATAAGGTCAAGGATAACGCCAAATTGAAGGTAACCTCTGAATACTGGAGAGACGAAGCTCATAGCCTGAAAAGGAAGTTTGAGGGGCCTGATGAGAAAGCTTGGAAGTAACAGATGAAGACTGCCCAAAGACGCTTGGCAGATAGTCAATATCAGAACCAGCGCTTGAGAGTTCGGGTAGCTGACTTAGAAAAACAGCAAGAGAAAGATGGCAAGACAATAGCTGAGTTAGAAGCTATTGTAGATGGATTGAAGAGGCAAGCAAACGAGCTTCAGATGGTGCCCTTCGACGGAGGATTACAATGGTGTTTCCGTTGGGAACAAGCACAGCGAAGGGCGAGGGCCCGAGACGCAACCATCCGAGATTTCCTGGACCAAGTGCAAAAAGCAGCCCGTCATCTTCACGGCCTAGCAAGGGAAGCTGGTGTGGTTCGACAAGGCATTCAACCAGTGACAAATGAAGGCAGAAGACTTGTCAACCTACTGGAAGCTGTTCGGGGTCTAGAGGATTTAGTCCGAATGTACCTTTAATTTGTTTTTATGTCTCTTAAAAGATAAGACATTTTTGTCTGAACAAGGGTTTATTTATAATAATGAACACTTTTCTGGATCAATGCCTCCAATTGCATACATCATGCATTGCATTTTATATTTCATGTCTGTTTATTTTATATTTTCCATGTTTTTACATTCGTATTAACTAACAGAACATGTCTCAGACACCGAGCTTACCACCGCAAGCATCAGATACACATCACCCGCACAATACTCGAGCAAAAAAGAGACAAATGGAAGCCAGAATAGAGAAGATCGAAGAGAACATGGCAAGACTTCAAAAGGAATTAGAAGATAAGATGGCTCAGAACAGTGAAGTACTCTGGAGTCCATAAAGAAAATCAGGAGTCCTTGGTCGACCAAATCGTAGCCAAGTTGTCGGGTCTACAACAAGCTAGTGCATCAGGGGTCATTTCTTCCGAGGGGGTGGCCATACCACCAACCCCGCAAGTGGTTATCTCACCCGGAATATTACCCGAGGACGCATCTGCTACTAAAGGGAATGCAGCACTATCCGGGGACTCATTCGTTACCAAAGCGAAAGTTGCACCAGCTGTGAAGATACAAACTTCTACGATCATCCCTAACGATCATCCGGATGATTATCATGTCCCAGACTTTGATGAGGAAGATAAAGCCAAAAAGATGGAAGAAAAGATAAAAATATTAGAAGATCAAATAAAGATGGTCCAGGGAGACCATGATTATTATGGAGTGGACGCAATGGAGCTGAGCCTAGTTCCAGACTTGGTGCTTCCACCAAAGTTTAAAGTTCCTGAG